TCCACTGGGAGCTTGGGTGGCTGGGGGCTGTGGCAAACCTTAAAACAGTCTTCAGCCCCTCACCTGGGCTGGCAAGGCACCCCAGTGGGAATTCCCACCCTGAAGGGGCTGTGGTCAGCTGCAATCAGTCATCATCCCCTCACCCAGGCTGGCCAGGCATCCCAGAGGGGACCCCTACCCTGATCCAGGATACCCTTCAGGGCAAACCAGCCAGCCCCACCCGTGCACCATGCCTCTATCCTATATAGTAAAAGGGTAATATGCCTCCCAGCACTAGGATCAGCGGAGCCGAGAGGCCTCCCGGCACGGGGATCAACGTGACGGGGCAGCGCCCAAAGCCCCCGATCGCCCTGCAGCTCTGTGTGTGACGGGGTGGGGCCACAACCTTCCTATCCGCCCTGCTCTGTTTGAGACAGGGGAAGGCGCCCCAACCTCCTGATCAGCCCTGCTCTGTGCCTGATACGGGGGAGCTCCCCAACCTCTGATCGCCCTGCGGCTCTGTGTGTGACAGGGTAGAGCCATAACCTCCCCATCGGCCCTGCCCTGAGTGTGAGAGTGGTGGCGTCCCAACCCCCTGATCCGCCCTGCTCTGTGTGTGACAGGGGGCGGTGCCCCAACTCCCCTATCGGCCCTCCTCTCTGAGTGACAGGGGGGAGCTCCGCAACCTCCTGATGGGCCCTGCTCTGTGCGTGACGGGGTTGCACCGCAACCTCCCCATCGACCCTGCCTTGAGTGTGACGGGGGCGGTGCCCCAACCCCCCAATTGGCCCTACCCTGAGCGTGACTGGGGGTGGCATCGCAACCTCCCGATCCGCCCTGCTCTGTGCATGACAGGGCGGTGCCCCAACTCCCCAGTCGGCCCTGCTCTAATCCCGACCGGGGGCTGCACCTAAGGATTGGGCCTGCCCTCTGCCACCCGGAAGCAGGCCTAAGCCAGCAGGTCGTTATCTCCTGAGGGGTCCCAGACTGCGAGAGAGCACAGGCTAGGCTGAGGGACCCCCCTTCCCCCTGAGTGCACAAATTTTTGTGCAACGGGCCTCTAGTATATATATAAAAGCGTAAACAGCCAGTCGACCAAAGGACCGGATGACTAGCAGGTAGCTATGACATGCACTGACCACCTGGGGGCAGATGCTCAACGCAGGAGCTGCCCCCTAGTGGCTCAGCCCACCAAATGGTGCCAGATGCCAGGCTCACAGCTAGCGAGCGCAGCTGTGGCGGATTGAACCTCTCCCGCTTCCATGGCAGCACTACCGAGTGGCAGGGGCAGGCCCAGCAGGGTGGGATGAGCAGGAGTGGCACCCTGGCCACCTGCTGCTTCACACATTACTATATCCCTCAAGGGATGTCAGACTGCCAGATTGGGCCGAAACTGGCAGTCCAACATCCCCTGATGGGTCCCAGGTTGCGAGAGGACGCAGGCCAGGCCAAGGGACCCCACCGGTGCACAAATCCATGCACCAGGCCTCTAGTAATAAATAATTCTTGTCTGAAAGAGTACTTTCGTCAGGGGTTGGAAAGTGGTAATTTTCTTTTTTTTAATTAAATCTTTATTGTTGAAAGTATTACTATGTCCTCCCCCCCCATTGACCCCTTATGACCTGCTCCCATGACCCACCTGAGACCTTCAACAACCTATTGTCTGTGTTCATGGGTAATGCATATATGCATACATGGTCTTTGGTTGATCTCTTCCTACCTACCCACCCCGCCTCCACCTTCCCTCTGAGATTCTATAGTGTGTGCCATGCTTCTATGACTCTGTATCCACTCTGTTCATCAGTTTGTTTTGTTCATTAGATTCCCCATATGAGTGAGAACATGTGATGCTTATCTTTCTCTGACTCACTTATTTTGCTTAGCATAATACTCTCCAGGACCCTTCTGTCTCAGAGGGTAAGAGATCCTTCTTTTTTAATGCTGCATAGTATTCCATGGTAATAAATGTACCACAGCTTTTTTATCCACTCATTTACTGATGCGCACTTGGGCTGTTTCCAGATCTTGGGTATTGTAAATTGTCCTGCTGTGAACATAGGATTACACACATTCTTTCAGATTAGTGTTTCGGGTTTCTAAGGATATATTCCTAGAAGTAAGACCACTGGGTTAAATGGCAGTTCCATAGTTAATTTTCTGAGGAAACTCCATACTGTTTTCCATAATGGCTGCACCAGTCTGCATTACCACCATCAGTGTACTAGGGTTCTCCTTTCTCCACATCCTTACCAGTATTATCCTTCCTATATAGTAAACAGGTAATGTGCAAATTAACCCTCACACCCTCACAGATGGCTGCCTACGACCAAGCCAGCAGGGGGTGTTAGGGACAACCAAATGACTGAACAAGCAGGCTGCATGGGGCTACCAGCCCGGCAGGGTGGTTACTGAGGGATGACCAAACGACTAAACAGCAGGCTGCGAGGGGCAACCAGGCTGGTGAAGGGGCCGTGAGGGGTGACCAGGCTGGCACGGGGGGCAGTTGGGGGGTGACCAGGCCGGCACGGGGGGTAGTTGGGGGGTGACCAGGCCGGCAGGGAGAGGGCAGTTGGTGATCTGGCCAGCAACAGGGGGCAGTTAGGGGTGACCAGGCTGGCACACAGAGGCAGTGAGGGCCAATCAGGCAGGCAGGCAGGTGAGCAATTAGGAGCCAGTGGTCCAGGATTGTGAGAGGGATGTCTGACTGCCGGTTTAGGCCCGATCTTGGCCTAAACTGACAGTTGAACATCCTCCGAGGGGTCCTGGATTGGAGAGGGTGCAGGGTGGGCAGAGGGGACCCCTCCCCACCGCACCCCGTTCATGAATTTCATGCCCCGGACCTCTAGTGTTGAATAAGAGTGGTGAATTCAGACCTGTCTTGTTCCTGTCTCAGGAAAAATGGTTTTATTTTTGCCCATTGAATATGATGTTGCCGGTAGGTTTGTTATATATGGCCTTAATTATGTTAAGATACGGTCCTTATATTCACACTTTGCTCAGAGTTTTTATCAAAAATGGGTGTTGGATTTTGTCAAATGTTTTTTCTGGTTCTATTGACATGATCATGTGATTTTTGTCTTTCAATTTGTTTATGTGATGTATCACATTTATTGATTTGCAAATATTGTGCCAGACTTGCACCTCTGAAATAAATCCCACTTGGTCATGGTATGATCTTTTTAAAATATTGCTGGACCCGATATGCTAATATTTTGTTGAGGACATTAGCATCTGTGTTCATCAGGGATATTGGCCTGTAATTTCCTTTCTTTGTGGTGTCTTTTTTTTTTAATATATATTTTTTTATTGATTTCAGAGAGGAAGGAAGAAGGAGAGAGAGATAGAAACATCAATGATGAGAAAGAATAATTGATTGGCTGCCTCCTGCACACCCCCTACTTGGGATTGTGCCCACAACCCAGGCATGTGCCCATGGTGGAAATCAAACCTGGAACCCTGCAGTCTGCAGGCTGACGCTCTATTCACTGAGCCAAGCTGGCTAGGGCTCTTTGTGGTGTCTTTATCTGGTTTTGGAATTAGGGCATTGCTGGCTTCATAAAAAGAGGTTGGAAGTGTTCCTTCCTCTTGAATTTTTTGGAATAGTTTGAGGAAGATAGGTGTCAGTAATGTTCTTTTTTAAAATTTTTTAAAATAATTAAATATTTATTATTCAGATTATTACATTTGTTCCTCTTTTTTCCCCCCCATAACTCCCCTCCTTCCAGTTCCCACCCCACCCTCCGCCCTCACTCCCCACCCACTGTCCTCATCCATAGGTGCACGATTTTTTCCAGTCTTGTCCCACATCTCCCACACCCCTTTCCCCCCGCAATAGTCAGTCCATTCCCTTTCTATGTCCCTGATTCTATTATAATCAACAGTTCATTCTGTTCATCAGATTATTTATTCACTTGTTTCTTAGATTCCCTTGTTGATAGATGCATATTTGTTGTTCATAATTTAAATCTTTACCTTTTTCTTCCTCTTCCTCTTCTTAAAGGATACCTTTCAGCATTTCATATAATACTGGTTTGGTGGTGATGAACTCCTTTCGCTTTTCCTTATCTGTGAAGCTCTTTATCTGACCTTCAATTCTGAATGATAGCTTTGCTGGATATAATCTTGGTTGTAGGTTCTTG